TGATGGTGGTGGTGGTGCTGCTGCTGCTACTGCTTCTGCTGCTGCCGCTGCTGCTGCTGGTGGTGGTGATGGTGGTGATGGTGGTGGTGGTGCTGCTGCTGCTACTGCTTCTGCTGCTGCCGCTGCTGCTGCTGGTGGTGGTGATGGTGGTGATGGTGGTGGTGGTGCTGCTACTGCTACTGCTGCTGCTGCTGCTGCTGCTGCTGCTGGTGGTGGTGGTGGTGGTGATGGTGGTGGTGGTGGTGCTGCTGCTACTGCTTCTGATGCTGCTACTGCTGCTGCTGCTGGTGCTACTGCTTTTTCGTTGCTGCTCTCTCTCTTTCTCTCACATCTTTTTCGCACTTTCGATGTTCCCTCTCTGTCTCTTTTGACGTTCCATCTCGCTGTATCTTTCGCACATGCCATGTCCCCTGCTCTATCTCGCTCGCTCAAGCGTATTCGCGCTCTGTACGCCGATTTTTACTGCAAACCCCTGGTAACGGGTTAGGTGATGATTGGAGTGTTTTACAATCCCTGACATGTGAAGTACATCTGGTAATTACATTAGCATTAGTGTCTACTGGGGGGTTCAGAAGCGCCCAACGACGCGTGAAACAATTTCACATATTACCCCAGTCGACGAAATTCGCCCAATTACTGCCGCTTACATAAATTTAGAAAATTGACAAGTGCAATCATTACTAATAAATAGATCCGGACGTTCCAGATATAAATGCGCACGCACCGTACAGCGATTATATATCCATGGCTCGCTCAAATACACGGCGCTCTTCTCGCTTTCCTATCTCTGTATATGTGTGCTTCTGCGCTTTAGTAGCATATATACGATTGCAACGTATGTACGCGGTCAGTATTGCGCACCGTACAGCGATTATATATCCATGGCTCGCTCAAATCTACAGCTCTCTTCTCGCGTTCCTCTCTCTGTATATGTGCTTATTCTTCGCTGTAGTAGCATATACGATTAATACATGGTCACAGGTAGCTTGTAATTGGTACGTCAGGGCCACCTGGCATGTTCTAGTGTTCGCGCTTGCCCAATATTGTGCGTACGTCTTAAGTGCGGGGCTGTGTGCGAACCAGTGGGGTACACTGCCCCACAGCGAGACCGTATTGCTACGTCGCCTGCCTACACGTCGCGCGACAATAGAACGGTTACCGGTGGAATGCCGCACGGTGATTCTACGCCCGGTGTGAACTAAATTCCTGCCAATTACCGTGATAAAGGGGAAGGTGCGGTAGTCAGTGATTACGCTAGAGTGAGTGGTGATTAATAAGAAAGGGATCTTACGGGATTAACATTGTCAGTTGTTCTCGCTGTGGCTGCTGCTGCTGCTGTGCGAGGGGCTGGTTGGCGGTGGGTACTGTATAGATGGATGGCTGCGGTGTATAGAGAGAGAGAGAGAGAGAGAGAGAGAGAGAGAGAGAGAGAGAGAGAGAGAGAGAGAGAGAGAGAGAGAGAGAGAGAGGAGGCAGCCTTACATGTGCAAATTTCATGCGGTCTTGCATGGCTTTGCTCGTCCGGCCCTTCCTGGCTGCGGACAATGTGGTCAACACGTGTAGACGTGTCACCAGCGCGCCTGCCTGCCTCCCTGCAGCGGGTAGAAGCTATACAGAGAGAGAGAGAGAGAGAGAGAGAGAGAGAGAGAGAGAGAGAGAGAGAGAGAGAGAGAGAGAGAGAGAGAGATGTTGTATGAGAGACGGAGACTCGCAACACATTGCCACACGAGTCCGAGTCAAGCGAAGCGGATCGCCGGTCTTTGCTGGCTAGAGAATTCGATAGGAAATCATGTATTGACATTCAGCGTGGGTGGAGAGGGTGTGGTGTGGGCTGGCGCACGCGCGCACGTACAATTAAACCTGCGTATGAGAGTCACTCGAAGGAAACTTCAAGATTGTCCTTTATAGACAGGGTGTTTCGTTCTATAGAGGTGAATTCCCCGTCTATAACGGCCACACACGGGGAAAACGCCGAATGTGTTATCTGTAGATATGTGGCCTTCTGTATCGGTGTCCACTAATGTGTGTGACTGTGTATGAGCACAAGTATTGGTAGTTGTGCATGCGTGTGTGTGTGCGTGCGTGAGCAGGTTTGTGTGCACGCTTGCGTTCGTGACCACGTGTGTGCTCTCCTATATTCATTCTCGTCGCAGTTGTCTGCAATACGAGCACGTTGAGCAGCAACGGGGTGAAAGGGTAGAAAGAGAGAGAGAGAGAGAGAGAGAGAGAGAGAGGGAGAGAGAGAGAGAGAATCAAAGAAGAGAAAATCGGCTTATCTTGGCGATAAGAAAAACATGGCAGCGCTTAGGAAGGAAGAAGAAGCTGACGACGACAAAGAAGAAGACGGAGAAGATAACGAGGAAAAAGAAGAAGGAGAAGAAGAAGAAGAAGAAGAAGAAGAAGAAGAAGAAGAAGATAAAGAGGAAAAGAAGAAGAAGCTGACGACGACAAAGAAGAAGACAACGAAGATGAAGAGGAAAAAGAAGAAGCAGAAAGACGACAAAGAAGAAGACGGGAAGATTAATAAGAAAAGGAAGACGACAAAAAGAAGAAGAAGGAGAAGAAGAAGCCCTGCTCCTTATATCGACGTAACTGAGAGAGCCTTACTAAGAGAGCCGTACCTAACGCATGTCGCCCTCACTCTAACAACGCAACCCTAACCCTACATCATAACCACAGCAGATGGTGGAATGCGAAATAGATAGAGATTTCATAAAGATGATGCATTTATTTACGTGTCGAATGCAGCGGCCCGATCTTCTGTAATGGGATGCAGTGCGAGAAGAAAGGGCGAGCCAATATCTTGCCTTCGCCAGCTGTGCTCAGCCTCTGTATACTGATCCAGGCCATGAATCACGGACGCCCAAATCCCGTCTTTCAGTTGAGCAACCAAGCTGCTTATGTTGTACGGCTATTGTCGGTGAAATCCTGCGAGAGAGAGAGAGCGAGAGGAGACGATATCGTGGGTGGGACAGGGAGAAACTAAAGAGAGATAGAGAAGGGGGAAGAAAATCCATAAGCAGAGAATGTAGTAGAGACTATATACAGAGAGAGAGGCGCCGATATCGTGGGTGGGACAGGGGGTAACTGAAAAAAGAGAGAGAAGGGAGGAAAGAAACCAATGTGCAGAGAATGTGGTAGAGGCTAGAGTCCCGGCCATATGCAGGCCGGCCCTGTATCTTTCTCTGTTTCTCCTACTCTTACTCTCCCTGTATCTTTCGCTCTCTTTTTCTGTCTGTCCGTCTGTCTATCTCTCTCTCTCTCTCTCTCTCTCTCTCTCTCTCTCTCTCTCTCTCTCTCTCTCTCTCTCTCTCTCTCTCCCTCTCTCTCTCCCATGACCACCAGCACGGTGACCCGCACTGCCGTCATCATTACTAATGAAATATGACGATGAAAAACTAATAATGAGGCTAATAACTTGATGAGTTTTATTACCGCGTGCGTTTTTGCAGCAGCAGCATCATCGAAATAATAACGCAATTCTAATGAATTAACGACCCCACCACCACGGCATCCGTCACTGCGTGCGTGCCTCCGTCGTCCTGTGCCGCCGCCGCCGCCGCGGCAGCAGCAGACAGGGAGGTGTAGCGGCACGCTAAGATGTGCGCAGCTGCCGCTCACGTCGGCTGCCACGCCGCCACTTTGAAGTCGGCGGCGGAGGCCGACGTGATGTACGGACGCGGTAATACACATCGCGAATCATGGTCGCGGCCATTTGCTATACGGAGTGACCGCTGTAAATCAGAGGTGGTCGCGTGTGGGAGAGGGGGAGGAGCTGCTCCGCGCCCAGAGGGTGTCGTTGTCCACGCGGTGATGGGATAATGGCTGGGCCGCGTGTCGGCATCGCTGTCCGTACGTCATCAGTGTCACATGTCATCAGTGTCACCTGTCGCGCGACAGTTTTACGAGCGGTGATAATTCCGTTTTAATTGTCGCTCGACGCGAGGAAAACAATAGCCGGCCGAGGATACGTCAAATCTACGGAGACTCGTGTCGGCAGGGCGGCCTGCTTTCATCTGACCGCCGCTGTGACGTATCGGGGACGTAAACCAATCATGGGCGGATCACAACCCGTAGTAGATAGACGGAGGAGGGCGTGGCATACGGTAGCAATCATGCTTCCTAACTATCATCTGGATTAGGGAGGTTATAAGGCACTTGCTGTGGCACTGTGGTTCTAGTAGACGATCGCAATCATATTTCCTAACTATCATCTGGATTCGGGGGGAGTTAGGGTGCTGCAGCGCTGTGGTTTCGGTGTCAGTTTGTGTCGCCGATTCTTGCGCGGTTTTGGAGCATCGTTGAATAGCAGAGCTGAAAAGCGCGGGTGAGTGATGTGAGAGCGAGCGAGAGAAGCTGAAGGAATCGACGGATGGAGGCGAAGGAAGAACGGATATCGTGGCGAGAAGATAAACCATCTTCTCTTCCTTCTCTCTCTCTCTCTCTCTCTTCCCACCCCCTCTCTTTCCCTCCCTCTATTTCTAATTCACTCTCCCTCACTCTCTCGCTTTCCTCTCTCTCTCTCTCTCTCTCTCTCTCTCTTTCTCTTTCTCTCTCTTCCTCTCGCTCGCTCTCTCTCTCTTTTTCCCACTCTCTCCCTATCTATTTCTCTCTCCCCTTCTCTTCTCCCCCTATTCATGTCTAACATCTATCCTAGGTTCGACTCCTCCCTCTCTCTCTCCTCTCTCTTCCTCCCATACCCCGTGCGCCTCTGACCCAGGTTTATGTCGGTCCCGGCTGCGGGCGCGCGAGCTTTTTACGGTCCGTGTAAATCACAGAGACAATGACGGCGGCAATTCTCGCTGCCGCCGCCGCTGCTGCTGCTGCCGACGCATTAAGCTCTAAAATATGTGCGCCGAAAAACCGCCGCTGCCGCTGGGTGGCCGACGTCACGTGACAGAAGGCAGACGAGATTGACGACGGGGCAGCAGTGGCGATGTCTGTTGGTGGGTGGGAGGAGGAGGAGGGGGAGAAGGAGTAACTCTTTACTCTTATTACCGCATCTTGTGGTTTGGGTACTTTCAGCTGCCTTTGGTGTTGTCATGTGTTATGCGTTATCTGGTAATTTTTTTACTGCGGCCAACTTACCAAGGGCATATTCTCATTTTTATTATTGTGCCGTCATAATATTAATAAATAAATAAATAAATAAATGCGTAAATGAATAAAACGAAGTTTCAGTGGCGCCGTCATTGTGTAAGGCGGTGGCGCGAGAGGGCGCGGCTGTCGATAGTGGTTAAGGTCACCTAAGGTCACAATGTCGCTCGTGATTGTCCGCGGGGGGAAATTAGCTGGTTCGCGTCCTCTGCGGTAGCTGACTCTATTATAGCTTGTTTATAAGCTGCAGCAGCGGCAGCAGCAGCGGTGTCACACAGGTGCCATCTATACACCCGTCCGTCCGTCCGTCCGTCCGTCCGTCCGTCCGTCCGTCCGTCCATCCATCCATCCATCCATCCATCTATCCATGCTACTACGGTGAGATGTCGTGCCGTATCATCTTAGAGAGAATACATTTCGTACATAATACATGTGACGCTACTATAGACACGTCGCCGTGAAGGCGGCGCTAAGGTGGCAGTGTTAACGACGTCGACAGCTCCTCACGACGGCGACGACGATGACGATGATGATGATGATGACGATGATGATGATGATGATTTGATGATGAGGAGGAGAAAGAGGACGATGATGATGATGATTATGGTGATGATGATGATTATGATGAAGACCACGACGACGGCGGTGGTGATGATGATGATGATGATGATGACGATGATGATGATGATAATGATGATGATGATGTCGGCACAGCGTGATGGGTAATAACCCATAAGTGCACGCTGACGGCCGTCCCCCGTGAGTGGATGTGACGTGTCGTGGCGCCTCGCTGGCGTGTGGCCCGCGTTAACACGTTAGCTGGCTGGTATTCGCTGATGATGTCTGTAGCAGGGGCTATCCCATCCCCATCCCCATCCCCCACGCATCGTCGCACGCCCCAGCTTTGCTTCGCAGAGCTGCTCCCCCTATTAGCGTCTTAAGTGCAGATTTCACATTCCTGTGCATCGACGCCATAGAAGCGTCGGCAAGCAAGAGATCAGGTACTCCGGGACAGACTCGCTCGTACGTACGGACGGACGCCCCGTCGGTGAAGTCTAACACTAGAATCATAAATGAGATTATTGTTAAATACTAGCACGCAGAAATGGCAGTGCCGCGCGAACATTTTTTTTTCACCGCGCGCTCCGAAATCGGCCAAGTGCCCTGTTTGCCTCCCGCCGTGCCACCCCGAGCGACTAGTTCTCACTCGTGCGGTCGCGCACTGTTGGCACCTTTGAAATTGCGAGCGATTGCGCGCCAGCCGGGCCACTTCCTCTGAAGACGCGCTTTATCACGTCGACAATGAACTAATTTGAGGGTTTTTCGGGCCGGCGCCAGGCAGACGCCGATCCCGTGGCGTGCGTTCGTGCGTGCGTGCGTGCGTGCGTGATACTGTCGGCTGGCGTTATGTTGTTACGCGAGCGCAGTGAGAGAGAACGCGGCGACGTAGCGTGTCGGAGCACGGGATGCGGGCGGGAGGAGCGGTAGGAGGGGGCGGAGGCTGGCAGGAGGAGCGGAACGGCAGGAAAGGCGGAGGCTGGCGGAGCGCGGGGGGTGCGGGCGGGAGGGGCTGGTGGGACGCGAGGACGGGCACGCCTCGACGCTTATTCTCAGATCTGTTTGTCCTGTCGAAGCTATTTTTACTTGTCCGAATTTTTATTTTACTTGTCCAAAATTTACTTGCAATCTATGAGCCGGCCATGAGGGTTCATTTGCGGTTCAATGCATATCATCTTACAGATATATACCATTGCATGTGTCCCTTTTTTCACGGGAATATGTGCGGAGGGACGGGTGTCAGGCAGGATGTGAAGAGGAGAGGGAGAGATGGAGAGTTGTCATTAATACATGGGTGTCCTCTTTCACGGCAATACGAGCGCGAAGAGTTACTGTAAATGTTTCGGGAGCACTAAGGAGATGACCTCGTCGGACCAGGGGTCACTCGGGGGTGACGGGGTCTTCTATCCGCGGCATCATTGTCTCATGTAGAGCTTCACGCGGCTGTCTCTCGCGCGTCTGCCGATGTGGCGTTACCACGGCGACCAGAGACGCTTCGGTTACGGCATGCCGACCCGCAGTGACGTTTAACGAAGCAATTTCTGCGCACCGCTGCTCTCCTCATCTCTCGCTTACATCCGAGCAAAAATGCAAATTATCCGCGCTCTCTTTCTCTCCCTCCTCTCTATCTCTATCTATGCCACACTATCCTTCGCGCGCTCTCTCTCTCTCTCTCTCTCTCTCTCTCTCTCT